AGATACATTGCATTAAGCAAACCCGAACAGTTATAATCCACTGTATGGTGTTCAGTTATCATTATTATTATTGTTTACTACAACTACTATTAGTTATTATTTATTATTAGCATCATCAATATTATCATTATTATTGCTGTTAATATTATATAATTAATCCATAGTGTTTTGGAATAAAATGCCAACACATGTTCCTCAAATGCAGGTAAAAATCATTTAATTTCGTGATGTGTATAAAGTTAATCCATTGGTCCTTTATAGACAAGAAATTAAATATTATAAAATTAGAGAAACTTGTAAAGACATGTTTTAGAATTTTTGCCTTAAACATTTATATCCTAAATACATGTATATTCTGGGAACATGTATAAAAATAGGGAAAAAAACGATGTTTCCTTACCTCAGTGATTGCTATAAATTAATTTACAATGCTAATTGCAAGATGTTGATTATATATATTTTTAATGAACAAACTTAACGTCTGAAAGTCATAAATATAACTCTGTATGTGCTGGTGCTTTAATTCATTACACTGTAAGATTATAGGTTATGTTTGTAACATCATTATCAACATTGCCCAACCAGTTGTGTTCTGATGCAAATAATTACCAATTTAAACAGAATTTTCAGTATGTTAGGTTAAGTTTACCATCTGCTTTTACTAATGTATTGATTGGAGGGCAACAGAAAGAAGCAGGTAGAAATGCAGGTGCTTCAGCAGTTAACAAACTGTTTGAAAATAAGTAGACCACATACCCTTTCCTTGTCTCAGTTTCAGGAATTTACCTTTAAAAATTCTCTTATCAATTGTAGGTTTTGGAAAAGAACTGGTATATCTGAAGTGCAAAAATTCTGGCATTATAGTTTTGCCTGTAATCAGTGCTGGAAGACCATAGGCAAAAAATACACAGTATGTTTTAATATTTAATTCTCTCTCATGTTTTGGAACATTTTTTTATTGCATCATGGTCATTCTAATAGCATAACATATGAAGAAATATCAGCTTCTTAAAGATCAGTGCTTACCTATATATAATATATTATATAAGAATTCAGTTCTAACCTCAAAAAAAAAAAAACTCCTTTACAAAGATCAGAGTGGCATTTCAGGAAGTAATTGCTGTTCAACTCCTTTACAAAGATCATAGTGGCATTTCAGGAAGTAATTGCTGTTTATTCTGAGAAGCACTCTGAATTCATAAACTACTTGCTTTAATTATGAGTTCTTTGATATGAAATTATATGGTACACATATTTATCACTATGTTAACTAAGGATTTTGAACTTCACCATTGCACAGTAAAATCTTCTTCTTTCATTCATGTCCAATCATTACACATTCTGCAACCATTGAAGCTTGTTTGTACTTCTTTTTATTTTAAGTTCCTATTATAATCTTTAATATGTACTATTACACCCATCATCTTATTGTACTCATTATGTTTCACATAATGTCGTTTACAAACTAGACTTTTTTGTTTTAGGTTATAAGTAACGTATGTATGTTTGTCTGTGTGTGAGTGTATGTTTGTTGTGCACAAAACATGAATATTTCAGAAAGTCTGATTTATTTTTGTCTTTCAAATTGCATGTTTTGTTATTATATATTGTTGTACATGTAACGCTTTTATTTTTAAAGCGGTACAAGTATCTACAAAGCTATAGTAACTTTAGAAATGGTACTTACATTGTTTTTGAAGAGTACTATATGATAATTTGGTGCTGTATTTAATTTATGTCAATGATGTAGATGAATGGATGAGAGTTATATTCAGAATGGGGCATATTTTGTTAATTTTATGTCAGTTTTGATTAAATCTAGTGTTACTACTCTGTTTTTAAATCATCAGTTGTTTGCAGGTGTGAGGAGTGTTATGTTTAAACGCCACGTCTTATTTCAGACTTAATAAGAATTCTTTGCCAATTTGAACTACTATGAATACTGTCTTTTTATAGTTATCATCACAATAAAGTGGATTATTTTCAAATATTTAAAAAAACAGTTAATTTTGTTCGACATTCAGTTATGAAGTCACTATAAATACAGGAACTTCATCTTAGTTTAAACTTGATAGAGTCTTCCTCTTCGAAGAAAATTATATATTTATTTATTTATTTTGGCTTTTTTAGCACCAAAATTTTTTATGTAATGATTTTGGAATTTGGAAATGTTTGATAAGATATTTGTAAATATAAACTCTACTGCAAAAATTACTATGTATGCTACTTTTTTTAGACCAGATAATGACAGCCAGTAATAGGAAGCATTAATAATATACTGGTTAGGTTAGATTAGGTTAGTAAAATATCTTGCAACTTATTTTGGGTACAGAGATGCAGTTTATAAATTATACTATTACTACAGCCATGCTTACAAATTAATTATATGTGTATGTAAAGAAATATTTAATTTTACTGTTGTAATATAGATGTAATTATATTTTACAGAATTTTACAGAATATGACAGGAAAATATCCGTACCATGAAAAGACAGATAATTACAAGACCCAAATTGATTGTGTGCATTGTAGTGAAATAAAAACAAAACACTCCATCACAAATGTTCAACTGTGGAATTATAACTTTCATGTTTTAATTCATTGTTATTAATGTTAATACTAAAAATTGTGTGAAAGAATTGTTTTTAGTCCAAAGTTATGTGCATAACCCCTGTCTTGGTGAAACAAAATATACATATTAGGCAGTCTTAAAGCCCAATTTAATAAATGATTGAATGCAAACTGGACATGTTTAAAAGGATAGTAGAATATATGAGGGCGTTCCTATTAGATTCCTCATTTTGAACGGATGGTAATGATAAGATTTCTTGTTGAGGTGCGCATTTTATCAAATCACTGCATTTATTTCAATCTTGGTCTGACAAATGTATTATTACACAGAAACACCTCTTTAGCCTAAGGAGAGAAAAAAAAAAAACATCCTGCCATTATTGGTGGATGTAAATAACAACTGTCGGTGATGATGTGTGATTTGTTTCAGTTTTTCTAAGGAAAGTTTTTTTAAGAAAAAGTTGATTAAAGGATTTTGCAAATAATATTTGCAACATTGAGAAAGTAAGAAATAGCCTATGTTTTATCTTGTGCTGTTGTGTGTGGGTGTCTTTAAATGTAATAAAGTTTAATAGAAACTTTGAAGCATAGAGTGTGCTAATTTTTTTAGGATGTATGGTTTCTTATCCCTTAACCTAAGCAACCCATCATAATCCACTAGTATGTATGTAATATAAAGCTATTGATTGTTTGTCATATACCTCAAATATCATTCAAAATCATGCCTTACAAATTTTTGCGGCCATAGGTGATTCGATCACTATTTTTCATACATGCTGGGTATATAGATGATATGTAAATAAATACAGACCTGTAGTGCTGTGCCCAGTGCATTCAGTATGTCACATGCCATTTAAAATTCTCTTGACACACTGGGTGAGATTATGAATGCTGTATTTCAGAAAATATTTTGTGTGCAAATTTGACTTTAATTTTGACTGTTCGAATATCATAAAGTTCCCTTCCATCAGTATAAGAAATAATCATATTAGATGCAAAGTTTATAATTTTCAGAATGATAGCTGTTTTTAAGATAGTCCATTTCACCTTCAGTCAGTTTGAAAAAACAGGTAAATATTTTGGTTAGGTTAAATTTGTGGATCTGTCATGTCCAACAGTAGATAGGCCTAATTTAATAATTACTTTCATATGGTAATCTCTGAGGTGAACAATAATTTAAAAGTGTTGTGCACTTTGCTGTTTTGAACTGATTTTGAAAGTTACCAAGCAAAAATTTCCAAGTCATCCAATTTAAGTTAAATTCTTTTAGGTATTCAAGTTTTTAATAGGTCAATAGTATAACCTCAATTATTTTCTCTTTGGCCTCTGTCAATTGCAGCATGACCAGAATAGAAGAGTGAAAGAAAATGAAGTGACGTTCAGCAATACAAATCAAATCAATTAGTTATTGAAGCCCTACACTCCACTCCACACCATCATCATGTTTTCATCATCCAGCTTTCTCCTCTGTAATTAGTTTGGTGATAGTACACCAAACCCAATCAGTCAACTAATTTCGTCATATCCCAAAGAGGGGTGGTATAGGGCAGGGATTACAGGAGGTAGCCCTAGGAAAATCACTGTTTTCATTTTCTGCAGCCATAGATACAAACTTACATTCACTAAAATCTAGCGAATCTGACCATTTCAAGCTTCCAACGTTTGTTATACTAGTATTTGTAATTTGTAACACAATATGTTTTGTACGTTAAAACTTTCATATATGAAAACTATAGGAGGCTTTCAAGACTGCAATCTACTGAAAAACAAAATACTGGAAATTGTGCATTGAAAGAAAACATCGCCTTAGCCAAATTCCAAAACAAAGGCATTGACCTTCTTGTAAGAACAGATTCCCCACAGGTTGTAAACATAGTTTGTTAGTTGTAACAAATTCATTCGGCTTAACGATATTTCTATGTGAGATTTGAGGTTCTGACAGCGGTGAAGACGATGATTACCTTGTGGGTTGCAACGCTGTGTGCACTCGTAGGTAGAACATCGTCAACAATAATTCTGATCATGACAATTCATAATATTATGGTATGTGGAGTCATAAGCGTAATTTCGTAAACGCAGTTATTGGGACACCAAAATGCGAATGTAGTTATGTATATTTCGAGAAGATGGCAGCGAGATACAGTCCACCTACTTGTGCCATCTATTATCTGTGAATATAGTTGCAGTTCTAATTCATACGAGTAACCATAGATGGCACATTAGATTAATTGTATCAAATATCTTTTAATTTCTTTTTGTAAACACTATAGAGAAAAAGGGAAAATATTATGGAAATGTACTATAACATAAATTAATAAATTTTTACAGTTGCCTTTAGTGTACATTAAGAAATTGACTTTCTTAACTTTGATCGAAGTTTGATTTAAATAAATGAACTTCTGATTAACATAGTTACGTGTTTCAAATGTTTCTGCTGAGATGTTTGAGGTTATGTTTATTACGTGTGACTGTTGAATCTGGGTAGATTTTGGATCAGAAATTGAATATCTAGAAATTAGTGGGCATTACCAAACCGATTATAAAAGAAAGTGATAGGCTAAAGCCGGATCCTGAACTTGAGAATTAGGACATCACTTGCAAAACTGAAACAGGACAGGAGCAATCAGATTGTTTTTAATGTTCAGGTAAGTTGCTGCTTGTTACGTTTTGTATAATCATTTGGTCGTTTTTAAAAAATCTAATTTCTAAATAATATTCTGATCATAGGTGACTGCTATATTTTTTACGGGATGATTTTTCCTGATTTTACAAACTTCTGTCCAGTTGAAGATTTCTGTCTTCTAGGTTGTTGCGCTGTGACGGAGGCAGTATGACCTCTGAAACGTTGGTTAATATCGACCAGACTACACAGCGCAACAACCCAGCAGACAGAAATCTTCATACTCACCGCTGTGAAAACCTCAAATCTTCTGTCCAGTTAACCACTGTGGTAATACTTCCAGATTAGTCCCAACCGCCTGCTTTTGAGTACTTGTTATCATATAAAATTCTTTGCAGTTCAAACAGCAGAATTATCACTTCGCTTATGGGAAATACCCATTCACTAACAAAGCTATGTACAGACTCATTTGTGATTTATTTTAGACACTCAGTAATAAAATGATTTATCAAGAATTTTATCAGACTATATCCATCATAGCATGAAACTGAACTAGTTTATTATGGGATAGATAGAAGTGCTAGTAAGTAGTTAATATGTTGTATAGACACAGAGCAAAGAATAAGTGATAACTTCTTGGAATTTGGTTGCTTATGATAATATTTATTTTCATTGAGTTCAAGTCGGAGTTTTTCAAGTGCCTATACTTGTTCTTATTCTATTGTATGTTGATGAACTGTCACAAAATAGTAGCTCAGTCTTCATTCAGCAGTTGTTCAAACATAGCTTATCCACTATGCATGATCAGTGTTTTGGTTGCTCAGTGTTTTGGTTGCTACAAGTTGCTGCAAGTCAGCAGCAGTGCTAAGAGGCAACAGTAAAAAACTCCCTTTTGATATTTATTTTGAGTCATCTTAAATTTAAATAAAACAGACTTAATAAAACTTGTGACTAACTAATAAGCTACAGTTGTCAATATATATACAAGACATAAACTAAGTTTTTTGGTGTACAAACTGATAATAAATGAAGTCCAAAAAATCCAAAACACATTTTTCCAAAATGAAGCACATGTTTTGTAGTAATATCCCTCATAAAGAAATGCTAGAAACAGTGTAGTTTTCATTTTCTACTCAAGTATGACAATATTCTGCAGTAACTCTAGTGACAGTAATAAAACATTCCTTATACTGAAGATAAACTATTAGAATCATGACACATGCTCAGAAAAGAGAATCATTTAGGAAACTATTAAAGAAGGTCCAAATACTGTCTGTAGCCAGAATGTATTGATTACATCTAAAAAATATTTATAATTGCCAATTTTGGTGGCGAAGGTTATGTTAAGTAGGTCCTAGGTTTTAGGCAGAAGAGATGACTTGCAAAATATGGAATAACTGCAATTATGTTGAATAAGTATTATGAACTGTCTGCACTAGCTGATCTTCAAGATATGCATTTGGACTGAGAGCCCTCTGAAGTAGCTATGGATTATGGGAAAGGCAACAGATTTGTGTAACATACAGTTCATGAGGTAAGATAAACTGCCTGAAGCTGTCATAAATAATAGAAACATTAAAACATTGTACTGATGGCTGTTAAAGAATCGGGTTATTAAGAACCACTGACTTTTGTGTGCTGTGCTGATATATAGTTGAAAATATTCAAAACTTTCATTGAGTTTATTGCCTCCTTTCACTCTATAATGAAGTATGGAATAATTCATTTGACTGTAAAAGGATATTTACTTTAAATTTAAAATAATTGAAATTATGGCTGGCATCAAACCAAGATACTTATGTGTGTAGAGAATTAATTTTATTTAAGACGCTGTAAAATTAAGAACATACAGATTTTAAGTAGCATAGAAATAAGTATAGCGGTTATTAGAATTGTGCTTAATTTTAAGAATGTGCAAATATCATTTCCTGGCATTGCAGAAAATAGCACAGACTAGCTCACGTTTCTCTAAGGGGAACAAAAAAAAAACACTTAGCAGAAATGCAGACATAGCCATTAAGCAGTCAGCAAAAACTTGGAAAAGTCAAACAAAGAAAATTTCAGGGTGGAAATGGGACACAGATCTGAGTCAGAAGTGCCAGACTGTGAAGATGTTAAAGAGATCACTGAAACCATGGGCAACTGGACACTGATCAGGCTGTTGATTGCTGGTAAGCACTGAGGCGATGACTCGAAGTCAAGTACGGGTACTTCAGTAAATCTGTCCAAATTTGCGTAACCCAACTTTTGTCGAGTAGAAAGTGAATTAGCTTAAATTAGGAATCAAGGTGTTCAATAATAATGTAATTCATATGTGTAGTACTGAGTCATAGAAATGAATGGTGTAGTCTTAGGAATCAATCTGTAGCGTCCTGGAAGAAATTCCATAACAGCTTTGTATGTTCAAGCTGACGACAGCATCCTTGTTGACTTGCCTTCTCCATTCCAAGCCACGCTACCAAGAATCACAAAAAAATACCCCATTACACGTAGAAGCCTATTAAGAAATTTGATACCTTCCTTATGAATGTGAAATTTTATTAATGAACTCTTGAGCCATGATTCATGGCTTGGAGTGGCCTATCTCCCCCATCTCCACGATCTTTGGAGCCTCAAGCTTTGACGCCCTTATGAGGCAGTGTGGCAGGCAGTCTGTATGTGTCCGCCGTGCAGGGTACTTTGCCAGAGAGAGAGAGAGCCTGAAGACAAATTTTCCTGCCTGTTCTGAGCTATGTCTAATCTTGCGTTTTGTTCTGTGTATGTCGAAAGTTGCTGGTCAGTATCCCAGCCAGAGCCTGAGTGGAGAGAGTTTTGTTTGACTGTTGGTTTCGTTGTTTGACTTTATCCTATGTTCTTTTTTATTTATACTTTTAATATATTTTGATTATTTGGAACTGCCATTATATTATTTTGGTTTTAACCTCTGTAATCCTATGGCCATACCACCTCCCGGTCTCTGGGTGTTATTTCAATCCTGTCACGGTCGCTGATAGGGCGCACTTTATAATAAATAATGTAGAACTTTTTCACGTTGTTAACACAAGGAATAAGGACCATCTTCATAGACGAAATCACAACATTTTATGTTTTCACAAAGGTACTTACTTTGCTAACATTAAGTCTTCAACAGTTTACGGTCTAGTTTCAAAATGTTTTCATACTAAAAGTTTAAAACGACATCAAAATACCTTTTCTACTGATGAATTCCTACAGTTTAAAAATGACTTTTAGACATTATTGTACTTAATTAACATAAATCATCAATTTAATAACATAACTGCCTTATAATAGTGGATTTGGTATGATAGTTTAATATTTTATGTTAACCTATGTCATTTATGAGACTGAACTAATATTTTATATTGCACTCATATGTATGTTTTGTAATTTTGTGATTTATTTCATGTCCTGTAAACCGCAGGGGGGATTGTGTGTGTACGTGGAGGGGTGATAGTGGTAGTAGTGGTAGAAGAAAACATTTTATGATTTTTCAAAATCATTCCATGGGAGACCTGGTCTGGCAGAGACCGAGTCCGGTAGCAACTGGGTCTAGCATATGCCAGATCCGGCAGGGACCGGGTCCAAGAGACACTGGGCCCGGCAAAGGCAGGTGTTTAAAATGTTCAAAATTTCAAAATTTGTCAAAATTGTGAAAAAAATTGCACATTCTTAAAAAAGCGCACAATAGTAAGAAAATTTGAAAAACCGTAACTTCTAAATATTGTCAAAACTTTCAAAACAATTTCTTTTCTCAGTTTGAAAATTTTTTGATTTTTTAAAATCATTCCATACCAAACCTGGTCTGGCAGACACCGCGTCCGGCATAAACAGGTGTTCTAAATTTTGAAAATTACAATTTTTTCAAAACTAAAAAAAGAAATATTTTGCAAATTCTTTAAAAGCTTACAAAAGTAAAAGTTTTCGAAATATTCCAAATTAAAAATCTCAAAAATTTCATCAATATATAATTTATTTAGTTTTTGAAAGTTTTGAAAATTGTTAAAAATTCTGAAATATTTTCGAATTTTGAAATCGGGTCCGGCAGAAACCTGGACCGTAACATTCCTGGTCCGGCAGCGATCAGGTGCGGTGGAGACCGGGTACGGCGAAGACCGATACAGGCGGAGAACTGGTCCGGTAGTCACCGCATCCGGCTGACTCGATCAGGCAGAAACATGGTCCGGCTGATTACGGGTTCGGAGAATTTTTTTTAAATTTCTCAAAATTTTGAAAAATCAAAAATGTAGGTAAATGTCCAAAAAGCTCACAAAAACAAATTTTAACTTCTTAAAAAAATCCAAAAGTTCTAGTAATTTTCATTTTTTATGACATTTCCGAACTTTTTGAAATTTATGATCCACCAGTTAGCCTCATCGGCAGAATACGGGTCCGGCAGAGACCGGGTCAGGTATAGACATGGTCAGGCGGATACCGTGTTCGGAGAATTTTGAAAAAAATTTCGAAAAATCAAAAGTCGTGGAATTTGTCTAAAAAGCACACAAAACCAAAATTTTTCGAAATACGTGAACATTTTTTGAAGTTGAAATTTTTCAAAAATTTTAGTTTTGCGCGCCTTTTAGCCAATTTCGAACATTTCCTGATTTCAAAAATTTTAGTTTTTTTCTCAAAATTCTCTCCACCGTTCCCTGAAAAATCCTGTTTCTGCCGCACACGGTCTCTGCTGGACTCGATTTCTGCACGGTCCGGTCTTTGCATCTCTCGGTCTTTATATGCGCTTCTCCAAAAGGACCTGGTCCGTTAAAGACCGGGAGAGGCAAAGAACGAGTCAGGCAGAAGCAGAGTTTAGGAGAGAAGGGTGTTAGCGGAGACTGAGAACGGCTATGTCGCAGACGTGTTCTGATAGGGATTGTGTAGGAGGATTATGAAATTATTTTTCTCGGACTCGATCTCTGCAACACGCAGTCTCAGCTAGACTCGGTCTCTGCTTCGTCCGGACTTTGTATGACTAACTCTCTGCTACAAGAAGTCTGCTAGACTCAGTCTCAGATTCACACGGTCTCTCAATCCCTGTAAGTTACAAAATTTTAGAGATATCAAAAAATGCTGCAAAGTGTCCAAAA